GAATAGCTCAGAAATAAATTCAAGCAGCTACAAGGCAGTTTAAATATGATATGTTAACATGTACATATGAACTTTAACAATATACCTGGAAAAATAGGTTGTCCTTCTTTGATTACAGGAAGCTCACAAACAAAATCTCCATCTGCTTGGATCTGAGACACCCATGCATTTGCTACAAAATCTAAAATCTTCTTGCTCTTTATATGTTGCATGGTTACCTGGGATTAGAAGAAACAATGATCAAGTTGCATGATTTCCAGTTTCTCATAAAAGTCAGAATATATAATCTGTTTATTACTGAGGTGGTGGTAATGTTTTTTGTTTGTTTGTTTTATTTTGTTTTGTTTTGTTTTCTGGTACCAGGGATCAAACTCTAGTCCTTGCACTTGCAAGGCAGGTGGCAGAACCACTGAGCTAAATGTCCAGCCTGGTGGTGATGATTTTTAGTAGTAATAGCATTCTAGTGGCTATTATATATTAGGCTATTGTTATTTGCCAAATATTATTCTACATGATTTATTTTAATGATCTTTTAATTATCACCAGATAAATGGATAAAATTCTTACAACATTTTTTTTTGTGTATGTGTACTGGGGATTGAACTTGGGTCCTTATGCTTGTGAGGCAGGCAGTGGCACCATTGAGATAAATCCCTGGCCCCAAAGCTTGGAAACTTGTAATTGACTCTGTCTGATCTGACTATCTCAGTTTGTCCTAAGAGAGTGACCAAAAACATAATCTACAGGAAAAACTCCAAAAGAGAGTTTGTGTTTATATTAATCACCAAAGCAAGCTATAGAGTAGAACCTTTTAAAGTTTCAATGACTTTTAAGTTTATTTATAATATCAGTAAGCTCTGCCCTCAGCATCCACATGTTCCAGCACAGTGCCTTTTCCTGCATGTCCAGAGGATGTTCAGTAGACACCTCCTTAGGGCTTGTTCCTTTGGTAGCTATTTCAACCAGAGGCTTCTCTCCATTATGTTATCCTTCATATCGCAGGAGACTAGCAGAGGACTTGCCTTCCCTCCTATCACAATGGATGGCATGCCCTTCTCCTTTTAAGATGTTAGTTAATATTCTAAATAAGGCCACAGCCCTACTCCTTACTTTCCTCTGCCTTCTTTAGGAATAGATAATATCATGTTTCAGGTGATTATTCTCAGACTTTGTCACTGTAACACTGCCTTCAAGCTCTTTTAAAAACCTGTTTTAAGGCTGTTTCAGGAGTTTTATACACTGTTCACAACTTTTTCAATTATCTGACTTATCTTATAAAACCCACAATCTTCAAACAATGAAAAGTTCATGACTAGATCCAATCTTGCTAGATATTTCTTTCTCCTACCTAATACTCTAGTCCTACTTATCTATTCTTGGTTCCATGAACTAGAAACATGTCTTCTCTTAATAGGTTTCATACATAATCTAATTTGCTTAGAATAGCTTTTTTTCTCACTCATTACTGTGTTGAGCATGCCCAATATTTCTTACATAGCTGAGACATAACCTTTCTAAAAAGTCTTTTGTGACCCCTTTTATGACTTAACATCTTCAACTGAACTGAGAAAAGGGACCTTGTCCTATTCATTGTTAGTACTTCCTCAAGCTTTCACAAGATAGTCTTGGGTTATTTGCTGAATAGATGAATAAGTGAAACAGGTATTTATCAATATAGGTAATCATAGATCTTATCATCAATGCCTGATTTCATCTATATTTCACTTAGGCAAGGGGCTATGAGAACACTTTTTAATACACACACACACACACACATATATATGTGTGTGTGTATGTATATATGAAATATTCAAAAGATATATAAATTACATATTCTTCATGTTAAAATTAGCCAAATTTATACATAAATATAAAAGATGTTTATAAAATATACTCCCCTAAACTGGGAAATGAACCCCTCCCAATCCCACTTTACTTTTCTGGAAATTAGATAGAAAATTCAGTATGCCAAGAGAAAAAAAAAACAACAATCAAAAGGATTTATATGCTTTTTAGTCCCAATCAGATACAATGCTCAAATGCAATTGTTTTTGTCCCCCTGCCTAATAATAAGAAATGTCAGTTGTTTTAATATTCCAGAGACTACAGAAATGGCAAGAGTGGGTGAATAAAAGGAGAGTGATTAGCATCCTACAGCTGAGGTCCTATTTTACGGTCATCTTTTTGCTAAGGTTTCAGCAGGGAAAGACAGCATTTAATCATTTTTATTTCATTTCTGGAGCCAATGAGATCTATTACTTTTGTTTTATTTGGGGCAGAAAGAGATGGTGTTCCCTAAGCTATACAGAGAAACATACTCCTCAGAAGTCTGAAAATAAAATTACTAACAACAACAACAACAACAACAACAAAAAACAGCACTGCCCATCACAGCAGAGGAGACCAGCAGCAGCCTGCAACCCTCTGGTGGGCCCACCTCTTCAGTGAGGAGCAACAGAAGTGCACAAAAGCAGCACAAGACCCTCTGGTAAGCCCACACATTCAGTGCCAACACAGCACTATCCATGTCCTCACCCCACAAACAAGAGAAAGAGGGGCTCTCTGAGGCTCCTAGATGAAAATTGAAGCCCACTTGAAAAGTGAAGGAAATCTCTGTGATAAAAGCACACCACACCACCATAGTTGGTAAGTTGGAGGGACTAGCACCTCAAATCAGAACCTGATCTAAACTTCAGGGGAAAGAAAACTGGAACCTGCAATGGAAACTTGCAGAGTTCAACCCAGCAGGATGTCAAAGATCTCAACTTGGGCTGTGCAGCCAGAAATCAGCCTGAACCTCAGGAGACAGCTGCTGGCTTGCTGAGACTAATTAATTGAGATTAGCACACTCCTACCAATGCTGTCTATTGTGTCAGCAGAGGAGTATCCTGAAGGAGGGGCCCTCTATTTCTATTGGTATTTTTTGTTTTTAAAGTAATTATTTTTCTCATATCTTTAATCATTTAAAAATTTTTATTTTTCTTTTCTCAAATTCTTTTCTTGTTTTCTTCTCTCTCTCTCTCTCTCTCTCTCTCTCTCACACACACACACACCTTGATCTTTTCTCTCCCATTTTGTTCCTGTTCCTCTCCTAATTAGAATTTATTTTCTTTCTTTTCCTTTTCTTCTCTTTTTCCTTCTCTCAATTGCCATTACTTTAAAAAGAAAGTAATTATAGTCTCTAGCCTCCCTATTGCTGTTAGGTTGTGTTCTTGTGTATATTTTGTTCTGTCTTCTCCTCTTCTTTTCAACAGCTTCCTAGTTTGTGTGATCTTCCTGTGTCCTATGGCCTCACTTCTAACCTTTCTCTATCCTATCTATCTATCTATCTATCTATCTATCTATCCCTGTATCCCCAACTCCTTCTAAATCCCCATCCTGGAGGGTAAAGTTGCTATAGTGAAGAGTTTATTCAATATAAACCTATTTTGGGCTGGTCCTCAATTTTTATTTAATTCACACAGTTAAAGGTGGCAGACTAATAACTAGCATAAATTATCATTTTCTAAACTGTGCTTGATGCTTCTATGTTGCTGATTTTATCACTTGGGCTAAGGTGCTGTGATTGATCTAATCAGTAGTCCTCCCTAATGAAAATGAGACTGCCTCAAAGTCATTAGAGACTCAAAACCTAAAGACCAGCTATATCTGCAAGATTGAAGTATTAACACAGGAATTAAACCAAGGACAGAACCAACCACCAAAACAGAAATGAGGAATTTAAACAAGGCACAAACACAGACTTCCACCTCACCAAAGGTAAACTCTGGGGGAAATGAGGTGGAAAAGTCTGACAGTCAACAATCTGGACACCCTGAACCGATAGTACAGGAAGTAAATGAACAGATAAATGATGCTCTAGAAAAATTCAAAACAGAAATAATTTCCCAGATAACCACAGAGATGGTGAGAAGAATAAAAGACATGAATAGAGACTCTAGAACAAAAGCAGATTAAAAAAAAAAAAGATGAGCTCAGGACCATGATAAAAACCATGAATGCCCAGCATAGGAAGGAAATGGAAACTCTGAATACCCAACATAGGAAACAAATGGAATCCACAAAACAGATTCAAACAGATATCTAGATTAAAAACTCTATAGAAAGCATTCACAGCAGAATGAATGGAAGTGAACATAGAATTTCAGATATAGAAGATAGGATTGTGGTCAGTGACCACGAAAAGAAAGTTCTCTTAAAAATAGTAAGGTATCATGAGAAATCATCCAACAACTCTTAGATGATGCAAAGGAGAAGAATGTAAGACTGATAAGAGTCCATGAAAAAGTACAAATGATATAAAAAAAAACTGTTCACAGAATTAATGACAGAAAATTTCCCAAACAGAGGGGAAGAATTTGACATACAGATAAGTGAGGCATATAGGACTCCATGATCCCCCCACCACCAAAAAATCTACACCTAGACATATACTAATCAAGATCCCAGGAACCCAAAAGAAGAAAAAATACTACAAGCAGTTAGAGAAAAGAAACAAATCACATGCAAAGGAAAGTCCATCACAGAAGACTTTTTTCACAGAAGACTTTTCAACACAAAACCTCAAGTCAAGGAGAGCCTGGAATGACATATTTTAAGCCCTAAAATAAATCAACCTTCAACCTACACTGATGTATCCTACAAAACTATCTTTCAAAATCGAAGGGGAATTAGGGAAAATAAGGTACTTCCATGACAAAGAACACTTGAGAAATTTCATGAACACCAAACTGGCACTCCAAACACTTCTAAACAATATGATGAAAAAAGAAAATGAAGGTCATTCTCCATAAGGACCAACAGAGCAAATACACCAGGCAAGGCAAGAAATTAAAGGGAGAGGGGGGAAAAATAAAATATAACAGAACCAATGACCGGAAAATAACATGACAATGAAAAGTCAATATATAACAGTTATAACCATCAATATTAATGGCCTGAATTCACCAATCAAAAGAAACAGGCTGGCAAAATGGATTAAGTAGCAAAATTCAACAATATGCCATATACAAGAAACACACTTAATCCACAAAGAAAATCATAGACTGAGAGTAAAAGGATAGCAAACAGTTCTCCATGCAACAGGAGCCCAGAAAAAAAGCAGGGGTAGCCATCTTATTTGCAGACAGAGCAGATTTCAAACCAAAACTAATTAAGAGAGACAAACAAGGACACTACATCCTGGTAAAGGGAACAATACAAGAGGAAAAAAGTGACA